TGTAGATGGAATGATGGACTTGCCGAATTCAACATAACTTTATTATTAGATAAAGCAATTCTGGAGTCACAATGCTTGCTTCACCCATGATTATGGCTGCAATAGTTACCTATGGAATTTTGTATACGCAGCTACATTTTAGAACAACAGAAGAATGCGAAAAAGCAAAGAAGTTTATTCAAGGCAGCGCAAATGGTAAAAGAAAGTGCATAGTTTGGTTGCAGAGGTATTTATAGTAAAATGTTTCGTGAATCTAATTGGCTAAAACGTATACGCTATGCAGATGGTTAAAATGACATCATTCGGAATTTCGGAATTATTTTTCAGATATGATGCAGTTTCACAACAACAACAACAAAAAGAAAAAAAAAAAAAAAGGGAAAATTGGAAACTGATCCATCACTATTTTTAGAATTATTATTATTTTTGAATAGAGAGAGGAAAGTGCCAAAATTGAGAAGGAGGAATTAAAGGGATATTGGTAATTTAAAATATAATTCAAAGTAACATGTTTTTTGCCTTACATACCCCCTTCAAGAAGAAAAAGGCTTGGCGATAAAGAAGCGTTTTGAAAAAAAAAAAAAAAAAAAAAAAAAAATCAAGTATTAGCAAAGGCAAGGAATACAGTTTTAATGAAAAAAAAAAGAACAATAAACGGCTTCAAGACGTAATTCAGAAATACTGGAACAAAATATCATTCGGTAAATTAAATTTAGAGTCCAATTTGAAAGTTCTTGAGGTAATGTATTTTGAAGATTCTATAATATCACATATTAAATTTACAATTTTTTGAAAGTCTTTCGCAAAAACTAAGTGTTATAATTCATACAAAATCAAAATATTTCAATTTTCTTTCCATAAAAATTTAGTAAAATTAATACTTTTATTTACTCATTCTAAAACAAAATCACGTGTTCTTATTGCAGAACAATGTAATAATTAATACGAAAAACTAAGAAAATATAATACAAATATAAAATTTCATGAAAAAAAAAATGGCAAAATTGTAAGTCGTCTAACAGTGATCAGCGTTAACTACTTGCTGATGGTTATGGGATGTTTAAATACAATTGACATAGAAAACCCAGTTCCTTACACATGGCAGCTGGCTTTTAGCATCCCATTATGTAAAATTTTAAAAAAAATCGAAGTTTGTATCTACTGTTTACAGCCATAAAATTCCTTATAGTACGAACCTGTAATAAAAAATAAATATACAAAAATTAAAATTCAGACTTTGATAAATAACTTGTACAGTCAAGTTATGCTTTAAAAATTTACGTAATTCTACATTACCATACAATAATAATCTTAAGAAAACCTTTTAGCTAAAAAGAAGACAGATTAAGAAAAAAAAAAAAAAAAATCAAATTTGGAAGTAAAAATGTCATAATTTAGGTTTTGAATTTTTATAATTGTTTACGGAAGGCCTTTTTAAATTTTCCACATAATACTAAAATTTAAACATTTTGAATACATCCATTAATAATTGTACATGATCACATCCCGTTTCAAAATTTTATAACTAATTATCATGCCATTTAACATCATTTGAAATAGTTTAATTGACATTATGCTTTTTATCATTATTAAGATATTTCAAATTAAAACTGGAAGACCCTACAGCATTCTCTAATGTTAAAAACATATTCATCTTATAAGCTTATCCACTTGAGCTAACTGCTATGTTTTTTTCTGCACCAGTGGCTAAGCAGATCCCATGGAATTTTTGGCCTTCGTTTCTGGTTTAAAAGTTACTGCCCTTCTTAAAACTATGCTAAAATAGTCCTTTGATTTAGAAAAACCAGTTTATTATATGAAGAAATAAAAACAAAATTAATTTTATATAATTTATTATTATTATTATTATTATTACTGTTATTATTATTATTTTCATAAGGCAAGCAGCTCCAGAGTTTATATTCACTTTATTCTCAAAGCAATTAGAAAGTTTTAGAATTCAAATTTTAAGCAATCTCATTCTTAAAACAATTGAAAAATTATTGGAAATTTCTAACAATAATTCAAAAATATAATTATTTATAATAAGAATCTACATATGAATCGTATTTACTCGCGCATCCCCCCTAGCTTTTTAGCACAAAATTATGAAATTTTTAAAAATATGCACGGAAATATTCTCTTTCACAAAGCCGCAGAGAAAGCGAGCTCCCTTGAATTTCAAAATGGATTCGTCCACGTAGTGATTGTTTTCATCTTCCTAATTGATTTGCTGATGCGTTTTCCGTGCATTGGCTCTGAGTGATAGAGCAATAATAGTGAAGAGCTTCGAGAAAAACGGGGATATCTATCTCTTGATGGTTCTGAAGATCACTGTATGTGAAAAGAGAGACTGAATGTGACTAAGACAATGACAACGGTGGTGATGCCGACGACTTGCAAGCTGTAGCAGACGGCATTAAACAATTCTAGCATCACTTAATGATTTGAGACCTAGGAAGTAGCAGTGGACGGGCAAGATTCAAGATATGGGGGGGGGAGTATAAATGAAGATATTTTATTAGATAGTGTAATGTTAATATTACTATCTATTCTTATTACGAAGTAGGTTTCTTTTAAATATATAATACTGTAATAGTTACTGGCAGTTTATCCATAAACACTTTTCATTTGTTGTGTTCTTTCCGTAACCGCGTCCTTCGGAAAATTAAACTATTCGCACTCGATTTTCGAATGATAAAATTAGTGAAAAAGGGAGTATTTTCGAGCTTGTAATAATTTTAAATAATTTAAAGCTGGTGAAAAATTATTAGTAAAGACACCAAGAAAGAAATTTAGAACTAATTTTTCACAAAGACAAAAAATTGAAATTCATAAGAATAAATTTTAAATAATATCCTGCAAATGCAATAAGGAATTTAAAAAATGTTAAAACCAAAACTTTTAAAACAATCAATACCCCAATTCAAAACATCAGTGCAATTTAAAGAAAAAAGAATATAAGAGAAGAGGATTTCAATCAACTTCAATGCCACTTCGTCAGGAAAAAGAACACTGAAATCAATTGAAATCTCTCTTCTCCAAATTTTTAAATTGGTTTTAACTTATGGTATTTATGGGATTATTTGAAATTTATAACTTACGAATTTCAATTTTGGTCTTTGTGAAAAATGAGTTCTAAATTTCTTACTTTATATCTTTATATATATATATAGAGAGAGAGATGGATAGATATAGATAAAAATATATAAATTAAATTATAATTTAAACTAGCAGTAGCCTCTTAATTTCCCCTCTCTATTCTAAAAATAGTAATGTCTTTTTCTGGACTGCGTCATTTATGGATCATTCCATCTCATATGACTTGTATAATGCTGATGATATAGCTAATTTGGAATTTGAACTCAAAATTTGGAGAGCTGAGACTTTTTCTTAATAAACAACTTTAACCAAAACTTTCTCTTGATGAGCTCAGTGTTGGATAACTGCGCAATTTTGCTTCAGCTCTTTTCCCGCTAAGATGCTAGTTCGCTCGCTTAGCCTTTGTCAGCTACTGTCTATTGTTCTAAAAATATAATCTGTATAAAATGGTGGGGTGCATAGCGCACTGGCAATGATGATGTGAAATGAAAAAGAATATGTGTCCTTAGAATTAATTTGTCAGGGATAAAATTATGTGTGAAATTTACAGTTACGTCTATCTTCGAGTGTCATCTTTCTAATTAAGCAGTAAAACCTCTCCAAGGCATTATAATGCAGAGAACCATTTCCGGCCCAGCTGAAAATTAAAAACTCCAGCCCTGCAGAACAAATCTATGCATGCGAATATAAGAGATAGCTTCAAATATAAATTAAAAAATATTAAAAATATATAAAATATAGGACTCATTGAATTTTTAAATCTAATTATACTTTGATAATAAATTTAAAAAATTTTTATAACGACTTTATGTAGAAGGGAAAGTTACAACAGTGAATATATAATTACTTGCACCTCGTAAAACATCCTCTGGCAAAAGAAATGACGGTTAGAATCTGGAAATTTTCGCAAGGACAGAAAGGAACGTGCTGTCCGGGTTGCTTTTGGTGAATTCATATCCTCGCCATGTAGTATTGGCGAAAAATATCGTAATTTAAGAAAGCAGAACTTTAAAAATTAATTTGGTGAATTAATGAAAAATGAAAATTTAGTAGCAGATTTTACAAAGGAAAATACCTTCATGTTAATCGGCAAACAGTAGCGAGTCAGGAAATGAAACATCGTCTACTTGTCTATTTTTCAGTCAAAGAAAATACAGATATATAAATAAATATCATACAAATTTTCCAAAAAAGAAATGTTATTTACATTTATACACTATGAAATTCTTTCTTATACATCCGTACCATTCCTCCTAAAGTTTTAAGAATGGCTTTCATATCATTAGATAAAACCTCATAGGTCGTAGAGTACTCAGCCTTTTTTAAATGTAAATTAAGAGGTTAATGGAACTTGATTTATTTTTTTCTTCATGTGTAACGTGTATACGAGAGATTTTCCCTCAAAAAAACTTCCAAGGGGCATCCCTCCGTTCCCGTATACACATAATAAATAAATAGAAAAGCACATAATAAATATATAAATATATTCAGATTAAAAAAATCATGAAATTATTTTAATTTACCCCTCATTAAATGAATTAACTTTTAGAAGGAACGCAAAATGCAGCTAACTAAATGAAATTAAGAAAACATCCTACAACTAAAGTAAAGAAACATGATACACTTATCAAAAGTTGAAAATTGACTTTTTGATTAAAAGGAAACTCATGTTTAGTTATATATTAATCTAATACAATTTTATGGGGGGGGACTAATAACTGTGAATTAAAATATGATGTCTTATGTGTTTTCGAAAGTTTCTATTTTTCGGCAAACGTTGGTTCATTAAAAATCCAAGATTTTCAATTAACTCCAGGTAAGGTACCTTAATTACCGGAAGTACAGGCCGCCATAATAGCGATTCATCGATTGCAAAATCATTGTAGTTGTTATATATTACGTAAATTATATGATTTGCAGAATTAAGTGAGAGGTGGTGTTAATACGAAGTTAATGCTCACTTGCATTTTATTAAACAGTTGTAATTATTAAACTTTGTTAGTCAATATTTTTTAATCTGCGCACTCTCCGCAGAATTATTTTGTGGCGTACGTCAGATAAAAATTTTTGTTTGCGAAAAAGACGTGGCATTAATGTGTTGTGCATTTTTTGAGTTTTAGGCGTATCGTACAGTTGTGGCGGATAAAAACTTTTGAATAACATAATAGGTGGTGCAATTTAGTGCTCTCATTATGGGACTTACGATTTCTAGTATTTTTACTCGCCTTTTCGGCAAGAAACAAGTTCGAATATTAATGGGTAAGTTATTATTCGTTTTTACTGTTAAAGGTAGATTCATGCGTACCAATTAGTTATTATTAAAACTTTTAGTTAATTAACTTTGTTTATAAGCAGGCGTTTTCGGTGCGTAGTAAATATGCTAAAAGTTGAATTTTGTTGTAATTTAACATAATTTTTGCGTAATGATTGCTGTTTAAAATTGTAAGCCGGCTTTGACCATTAGTATGAAGTTCAATGCTTTATATCGGTGATTGTTACATATGTTTTGTGGATGGGGAGATTGAGAATTCAGAAATCATATGTTTCTATGATGGTATGTGACAATAGTTGATTGGTGGTGCTAGACAAGTTTGTATTCTAGAAATAAAAACTTTGCAGGTATTTTTAATTGAAAACTTGTATATTTTTCTTAGTTTATCCTATTCCTGATCTACTCTGGCAATGCATTTTAATTAAGACATAATTTATTTTTGATAAAAACTAAAATTTGATTCCTTAAAAAGATAGAAAACGTTGAAATTTTGTACTTGTTTGTTTATATGGACATTAATGTATTCAATAAAAAAAAAAAGTTGTAAATAAATATGTGTTTTAGTATGTAGTGTCAGTGGTGTAGCTAGAGGTGAGAGATGTCCACCCTGGGCGTTATGTTTTGTGTCAAACATTTTGTAGGGATGAGACAGGTGGATTGTCGAGACCGTTGAAGAATATTTGGACTCTAAATATCCATGTGGAAATAAATACAGAAGGAAACAAGTTTTTACTCTAGATAAAGTATTCAAAGAAATCATCGTCAGATTTCATCAGCGATATACTCTTGTTATACTTTTTTTTATTCCATTAAAACTTTTAGAATGAAAATTACAAATATGAACCAAACCAAATTATCATCTCATTGACATTAATAATGAAGAATTCTTCATTAAGATTGAAGTATTTCAAAGCTATAGTTCCATTACTGGTAGAAAAAATTAAACAGGAATGTGGAAGGGTGGTCCTTTATAATTTTTGCCGTTCATCTAAGAATATGATTAACAAAGTTCCAAATTTTGTAATATTACAGTAAATTTTCCGGTAAAGTGCAGAATTGCTCACTTATTTGTTTGGTGCTTTTTACAAGGGTAAAAGCAATTTTATTTTCGTCAATTTTCTTTTACTTTTTAAATGAAAATAGGTCGATGTGTTTATAGATAAAGTCAAGGAAGTGCAAATTACCATTTTTGGGCAATTCTGGGAATTTTTTTTAGTGAAAATTGGTTGATGTGTACATGGATACCGAGTATATGTGCAATTCTTAAAAACGCCCTTAGCAGTGGGGAATTCTGCACTTCCCCGAATTTTCTTCTGTATTATCATGTTGCTTCTAGTAAGAAGCATTTTATATATAAGAATCATCTAAGGAGTATTTAAGAATTACTAATGCATATTTTGCATTTAAGAAATATTTCTGTACTGTCTATTTAATAACAATGCCAGTGAATCGATTTCCACATGGCAACCAATCATTTTGTTGACCAAAAAAAAAAAAAAGAAAAACAAGCAAAATCCAACATTAAATAGTAATCATCAATATTAATAACAACATTAATTCTGAAATGTAGAGTTTTAATTAATTTCCCTACATGTTTTGATATTTTTTGTAATTATTTGTGTGCATATGGAGAGAAGTGACAAGTTCAAGGACTAGCCTGGGTGGCAAAAGTTTTAGCTGTACCACTGAGTAGTGTTTATGGATTTGAAGAAAGTGGTCATTTTAGTATTGAGGCAGTATTTAAATGCAAATTCAAGTATTGAAATGTTTCATATATTTATAAACTGTTATTCATACTTAGAACTATATTATATTTGTTATATATAGTTGGTCTTGATGCTGCTGGAAAGACTACAATTCTGTATAAACTGAAGCTTGGTGAGATTGTTACTACTATACCAACAATAGGTATGCTTATATTTTTTTTAAATCCTTTTTATATTATGATTCATATAAAAATTTTGCATTATGTTTTATGTATAATTACTTTTATATTTCTCAAAATGTATAGTTTAATTTTTTAGATGTGATGGTGATTAAAAGGTAAATTTTAAAAATAAGATAGTCGTAACTTCTGCAGGTAAATCAAAATATAATTCCGGAACTACTCTTATATGCGGCGACAAATTTCTTGCCAAACATTTTTGGTGAGAAACTCTATGCCGCCATATTACTACCTAAATTTTTTCTCTACATTTCAAACTTTTAGCCTAAAATGTCTGCAAAAACCATATTTTAAACACACAATTTAAGCTAAAAATATGAAACAAAAAAAAAATTTAGATAGCAAAAACGTAAAGTTTTTAACCAAACATATTTGACAAGATCAGCAAGATATCAGCAGGATATATATATATATATATATAAAGAAAGAAACAAACAAAAAAAAATTCTTTTAATAAATCAGAAATCTCAGTTCTCGCACTTTTCATAAGCTGCTAATTTTGTAGCACTGGCATATATGAGCAGGGTAATGGCAGAATTAGCTAAGGATGCAATGTAGGAAAAATCATACTTGTCGGGATTTTGTAAACATTGCATTTATCTCCCTACTTATTTCTTCTTTAAAAGCGTAAAAGCTGCGGTTAATCTTTGGATTATGGTAATTTGGCGATTTTTGGCGAAAATTTGGCAACCAACCCTGCTACAGCAACCTTCTACTTTTTTTTTTTCTTTTCTTTTTTTTTTTTTTTTTTTGCGGCCATTTTGTCTTTCACGAAGTAAAAGACAGGTTTCTTTTCTTTTTATTTACTCAACATTTTTTTCCAACAATCTGCTAGCCAAATTACGCTTATGTTAGAAATTTTATGGAACAAAAGTGCTTAATCATGACGAATATTAACTGCAAAATTGGGAGAAAGTGCATAATCGCAAACTCCTTGCCCCGTTTTTCAGAATGGCACATACACGGTAACCACGTACACGTCGACTTATTTTTACTTAAAAAAAATCCCAAAATTGCACAAAAATGGCATTGCGCATACTCTTGACTTTATCCATGTACACTGCTTTTTTCTCATAAATTAGAAAAATTTCCACAAAAATGCAGGAAAATTTTGTGAATCTTTAAAGTCGGCAAAAAGGACATATATGAAATTACCTGATAGCGAAAAAGTATATACCCTTTCCAAGGATGATCATTTGCACGTATAAAATAAATAAAATATCCAAAAACATTTCTCTCTAAATTATCTATTATAATTGTCACCTGCGAATTTATAACGCAAACATTAAATATGGTTGCAAATACTCAGTGTCAAATATTTAAATTATTTCCATGCACGTCTACTTCTACTGAAACATATTCTAAAATGCTACAAACATATAATTCACAAAATAACTATCATTTAATTAAAATATAATTAAATTAAAAACACTACTTAAAATATAAATAAACACATACATTAAATTAATAAAAATTAACTTAAAATCTTAATTACAGTCAAAAGTCGTTAATTCAGACACCCATAATCCGGAATGATCTATAATCCGGACCTCGGAAGAATAATCCGGAAGTTAAAAACTTTCTGCGCATGCGCCGCGTTGACACATGCACATAGGCGTTTACACATGCGCGAAAGACCTTTACGACTGCACGTACGCGTGTGCGCAAGTGCAGAATACGTTTTCGCGTGCGTGCTTTATGTATAACGGACGGTATAAGCTAAAATTATCTAATTATCTGTTTCAGTTAATGTTGATTGCGTTGTACCTTAATCTTCGAATTGGATCCGGTTTATTAGTTTTTGCAGGCTGTAAGAGCAATTTTATAAAAGTAAACTTGAACTTTCGATTATGTCAAATAGAATTTCCAATGCTGGAGCTCCCAAAGGATCTACAAAATGAAAGTATGTTTCGATGTCCATCAAACAGAAAGTGGAATTGCTGCAAAAAATGGATAAAGACATGAAGAAGGTGACAGAGAGGTTAGTGAAAACGAAAAAAATTTCGATTGACAAGTTAGTCGGTATTCTCGGCACGGCAATTAAGGGACTTGAACAGCGGAACTTTGTAACCGAACAAGAAATTATGTCTGTTTATAGAATAAAAGAGAAAGTATTATCACATAAAACGAAGCAACTTAAACAACTTACATTGAAAGAAATGTTTAATAAAGTAAACAAATAAATATTAAGCCTTTTTTTTTTGTAAATTTTGATACCCTTTAGATCATAATTGTTCTTTATTTCATAAATTACGGTTTCATATTTTTAATTTTTAGAATTTCTGCATGCCATCTTACGAGATTTAAACTGATGATCTGTAATCCGGAATCGCTGAAGTCCCAACAAGTCCGGATTAACGACTTTTGACTGTACTTTAAACTAATTCATTGCTAATAAAAATTTTCCAATAATAGCATATTAATTTATTTATTCCTTATGTTTAGAACAATGCATAAAATAATATCCTCAAATGATTAAAAATACTAACTTACCTAATCTTCTACAGAATCTTGAGTGCATGGCGGATCACAAAATGTCCATTTTCATAAAATTTCTTGCACCGCCATTCAAACTTATCTGTAATATCCTTCCTTTCACACAATCTCATTTCATTCCCTCACAAAACACAATGAAGCTAAATACAAAATGTTAAATGTAATAAAAATTTCAAATTCACTTTACATAATAGGGCCATGGGATCCAAAAATTGAGCTACACTATTTCACACAACACACAATGAAGCTAAATATAAAATGGTATAAAGTACTGCAGATATTTTTCCAAATTTCCCCCTTTTTCCGATTAAAGAACTGTGATTCGTCCATAAATGTCACATTACATATCTCATGATCTCTCATACAAAATAATGCGTAATTGGAACTGGGTACTTCTCACATTATTGCCAAAGTCCTAGGTCCTTTATCGCCTACCAAAATGTCGCCAAACTGCCTGTTACCATACTCCAAAGATTAGCCAAAGCTGCTTCCAATTTTTTTTTCTATGGAGAATGCACAATTTTTTTTGCTCTACTCTTATATGCGCCCTAAGATCACCAAATGTGGCAATATGTGTTTTGTGCTGATTTTGGCATGATTCCGTGCTGTGGGATGGTTTGGTGGATGATGCTCTTTGTATGGCAACCTTTTGACGTTGAAACTTAACTATTTTGCTGCAGTGTCGTGTGTGTTTTGAAATGGCCTATGTTGCAATGATAGACGTGGTGGGAAGGTTTCAGTCGTGTATTTTAGATTTGTGGAAAGTAAATTTAGTATTAAAAGTTACGATGTTGGAGTTGTTAATGAGTCTTTTGTTGACAGGTGTGTTTATGAAGATCAAAGTGTATTTTTGGAATTTCTGTGGTATTTTAAAACTCATTATAATAAATCATCACTTTGTAATTAATCCTTCTTACATAATCTTAATGATACAATCTGTTATATAATGCTTAATATTAAAATCTGGGAATTATGCATTCCTACTCTGCAGAGTCGTAGCTAGGGTTTTCAGCGCCCAGGGACAACTGAAGATTTCGTGCCCCCTACTGCTTGCCAAGGATAGAAAACGTTTAATTCTAAAATGTCGTAACATCAGTTTGGCGCCCCTTCGATTCTGCGCCCGGGACAGATCCCCCCTCTAGCTACACCCCTGCTACTCTGTTATCTTAGCAGCTAAAAATATCACTATATGGCAAATCTTTGCTGTTAAGTTGCTATCTGCCTGCTTTATCACTAACCTAAAAAATACGAAGTTCTTAAAAGAATGGACATGGTTTGCATTAAATGTGAGGCTTCATTAAAAAATGTAATATTAAGAATAAAAAGTGTAAATTTATGATGATAAGTCTGCACCAAGCTATTATAAATTGCTTCTCATCATTATGTATCTATGCTGTTATTAAAAGTGACATCATTACACGTAGGTATATATGTATATACTTACACAAGTTTCATTTTTAATAATAATGGTTAACCTACAGTCCGAAATTTTTGGGAATATGCCATAAGAGCTCAAATTCATCGAGTTTAATTATGAAGTTAATACATTAACAATATTGTTACTTCTTAATTTCTGAGACTTCTTTTTCATCCGTAGCCACTCTAAAAAAGTAAATATTGAAATGGTCACTATATAATGAAAATACTGAGGTATTTTCCAAGCATAAATACGAAAATGTATTTCAGCAGTTTTAAAATAAAAATCAGCATTATAATAATAATCGTTATCATTGATTGCTTAGTAAAATGCCAAGTAGTAGTATCATTTATTGCCTAGTAAATATAAGAAATTATTTATTATATTAAAAATCACGGGAAATGTTAAAAATGTAGTAAGATTTATTAAATTTTTTGTCATTTTTTCTATTAATTGATGTATTGAATTTTTGAATAGAGAGTTTAACACACACATTGCTTCGAATTCCTTGTTATTCTTTACATTTATAATTTTATTTACCTATGCAAAGTGTGTATGCCAGTTACATGTACTTCCAGAAGAGGCATTTCACACAAAAGGTTGAAAATCACTGCTTTATGTAATATATTACTATTGGATTGTGGTTTTGGTGTAGTAAGTTAACTTTGGAGGAAGTTTTTATCATTACTTTCGAAATTTTGAATCTCGGAAAGACATGCGATATAGCAAAATCATAGCACTTTTGTTCAGAGACGTTGTTGTGACTGGCAAAATTTTATTCAGTAATGTATTATGGTTAAGTGCATTTTATTTTACTGTTTTTATTTTGTAGAATGTTATGTTCATTTTCTTTTACTATGGAATTTTTGTTGTTGTTCGTTTTTTGTTTTTTTGAATTGTTTGTAATTTAGTTTATTTGATTAATTTGTGCACAAAGTTTAGATTGTGCAATTCGTAGATGGTTTTTTAAGTTTAAACAGGATATTGTGTGCATGGTATTCTTTGAAATTTATTGTTGTTATGTTAATTTATTAAAGCGAGATTTGCGTAGTTCGTTGCCTAGATTGTGCAATTCGTAGATTTTTTTTAAGTTAAAAGATATCGCTGTGTAAATGGATTCTGGTCAGATATTTTTGGTTAGAAACTTTACCTTTACGTTTTTGCTACCTAAATTTTTTGTTTTTGTTTCGGATTTTTAGCTTAAATTGTGTGTTTGAAACGTGGTTTTTGCATGTGTGAAAATCGCGTTTTTGGAGACATTTTAGGCTTAAAGTTCGAAATGTAGACAAAAAATTTAGATAGTAATATGGCAGCGCGCAGTTTCTCACCAAAAATGTTTGGCGAGAAATTTGGCAACTTGAGGGTGCATATAAGAGTAGTTCCGAAAATATTATTTAACTATGATATAAATGTGTTCAAATCCTATTTTGTTTCATTTTTCATGTTGTGTGTGAATTTTTCCTTTATTTATTATTTATTTTTTTTTTTTTAGGATTTAATGTTGAAACAGTTGAGTACAAGAATATTTGTTTCACTGTTTGGGATGTTGGTGGGCAAGATAAAATCAGACCTTTATGGAGGCATTATTTTCAGAACACACAGGTAAGTTACTTTTGCTGCAAATGTTAAGAGTTTTACTTGTTACATAAAATTCATAATGCAGGAAATGGAACATTAATTTATGTAACTTAGCATATTAAAAGTCAATCTTTTCTTTTAAAATGGAAAAATATGCGTAATTTGGAATTTTCTTTGAACTCCACATGTAGTTCAAGAATTCATTGTATTAATTTTTATCACCTGAAAAAAAAAAAGTTTAATATAAGTTTTGTACCTTGATTATGCAGCCATAGAATTTCATTTCCTGATATGATGTATAATTAGACATAAATTATGCTTTTTTTTTTTTTTTTTTTTTTTTTTTTGTTTGTTATTTTAGGGCTTGATTTTTGTTGTGGACAGCAATGATAAAGATAGGATATCTGAAGCACAAGATGAACTTTCCAAAATGGTATATTTACATTTCATATTTTATCTGATAATTTCAAAAATCTGAATTCTTTTGAGTGAGAGGTAGTTACTGTGAAGTTTGATTTGACACAATAGTGAAAATATTTCAAATATAGCTGTATACCATATAAATATGTTATGTTTAAAGCTATATAAAATTCATCCTTGTAATGTATAAAACAAGGATGCCAAACTCGTGGTCCACGGGCCGCATGCAGCCCACAACAAATATTTTTGCGGCCCGGCCAATATCTCGGCAAATAATAATATATAATAATAAAATAACATATCGACGAAGAAAAAAATGAAATGTTTACTGCTAAGTAATTAACAATAATTTATTCAGTGTTGTTATGTTGTTAGATTACTCACAGCGAGCTGACACGCACACTACTTAAATTACAAATGTGTGTGAGTAGCTTGCATTCAGCTACCTTCGGCTTTTGGGGGACATGTGCACTCAGAACTTGTACGCATCCCCCGATAGCCGAACTCATGGTCTCAGTTTTCCAATCATAGTTTTGTACGATATATTGGTGCATGCATGTGCATGCACTTTGCTTTATTAATTAATTATTACTTAATTCATATTGTTACGGATTTCATAGTTATTTATTTAGTTAGCTTTTTTTATTTAGAATTGTAATTAGATTTGCTTCATGTTGCCTTAGCAACGCAGACGATTTTTGAAAAGACAGCTGCGTTGGAAGGTTAAAAATAGAACAGCGCATGCATTTAATACCTAATAAATAAATATCTCGTAATTGCTGTTGCCATCCACAAAAATCCAGATATTTATAGATGTTTCCAGTATATTCGAGAAATTAATTATAAAGCTTATAAAAGCCGAGAACAAACAACTCATCTCAGTAGTAGCTGTAGTTCTAGCAGGGTTCGTAGCAGTCCTTATAAGTGCTTATAAGTCCTTATATTTGAAAATAAAATATAAAGGCCCTTATAGATGCTTACATTTTCTTTAAAGCCCTTATTATTTTGTTTTTAGTGCTTATTTTTTGCTTTTAGTGCTTTTTTTTTAAATGAACGCGCAATTTTCCCCCGTACTAAAGCTGAAACTAAATAAACAACTTTTCTTCCTAATATGGAATGTCAGATGGTGAATCATACTCCCGGAAATAGCTTTTCCCCCTTTCTCTGCATTAACATAACCTTTGGTGTGCGCGGAGAGTACAGACAGGTAGGTGCCCGTCGTTCTGTTGGTCAAAGAATTGCAAAAGCAGTAGAAAACTCCGGTACATTCGGCGTTCTTTTTCCTCCCACCCAAATACTACACACGTTTGAATTTCTATAAAGATCTTTAAAATTTGCATTCTCGTTCCGCTTGGTCAGTTCATATTTGTGTTTATTATGATCGTTATGCTTATATTATGAGCATATGTATGAATGTTTTAATACATAATTGCAGTAACTGCTGAAGTATAGTAAACTTCCAAAAATGGTTGTATTTTAACACAGATTAGCTTTCTAAGGAATAATATTTGGAATGGCCTTAAATAAAGGGAAAGTAATCGAATAGTCAAAATAATTTCATTTTTTTGGCCAATACATTATACAGTACGAAGGTTGGGAGGTTCTCCCCTTTCTCCGCAAAATCTCGAAGAGTGAAACTGTTACAGTTTGCTGCAAAACAAGCAACGGACCTTTTTTTTTTTTTTGGTCACTTTCCAATCTGGATTGAATAGGACTAAAAGTTCTGCGGTCTACCACCCCAAGCGAAGAATGATTCTATTCCGGAAATTTAACGCAGTCTGTTGAAAATTAGAATGAAAAACACCCCAGATTGGTAAGTCTCTTTCTTTTCCTTTATTTAGTTCTTTATTCTTCCAATACCTGCAGCAGCTGTTGAATCCGATTGCGTAATATCATGTAGGGAAGAATTACCGCGCACGTATTGCGCAATAACGTTTGCGATATTTTGCAGAGATAATTAATTTTGATGTTCGGTTCCGAGATTTGTTTATGAACACTTAAAGAGAGTTTTACTGTGCTTGCAAAGCAGAATATTTTTCAGTTCCTGTTGGTTTATTTTTCATATGATTGCACATATCAAAATGTCAAAAGCATTTATTTAGCGCAGAAAAATCTAAAGAAGTGGCTACAGTCTATCCCCCCCCCCCCCTCCGCTCCTCTTTTTCAAGTATGCGCTCGACTGTCCGAATGTTCGCCAATTTTCAAGTATGCGGGTAGTTAAGCTTTTACTGTTAAATGATGACTGCATGAAGCAAATTTCTGTCTCAGAAATGTTCCTCTTGCAATATCTGTTAAGGAAAAACTGATATACGATGGAAATTTAGAAAATGTTCAGAATTTAGATTTAAATTAGTTAAATATCAATATGAGTGGAAAAATAAATTGTATTTATTATTAAGTTCCAAACGAATAGAATAAATATGCCTTATTATTTATTTCCTCTATTTTGAAGTGAAATTTCATCATTAAATCTTGTAATATAGTTTAGTTCTGCATAGTTTTTTTTTTTTTTTCTTTCATTGTAAACTAGTTCTGTAAATTGAACTGTTATTTAAAATTTAAAAAAAAGTAATTATTTTCCATGGTTGAGGTAATACTTATTCTCTCTTAATAAATACTGCATTTCTCATATTTTAAATTACGAGTCTAATTTTAAGGTTATGCATTTAATGTAATTAGACAGGTGCTTATTTTTTTTCTTAAAATGTGCTTGAAAAGTGCTTATAGGGGCTTATTTTTTTAACTAAAATGTGGCTATGAACCCTGTCTAGCGAACTGTTTGTTTACTTAATGCTGCGATTGATTTGTAGCGATTTCGCTGTGAGATAAAATTAGTTTCTCTGTTTTTAATTGATTTTTGCTAAACGTTTGACATTTTGTGATATTGTTAGAATATTTTTGAAGAAATATTTGAGCATTTTGATTTATCTCTTTGTGGAAAGAATAAGTTTTTGTTAACTTTTTAATGTTAACCGTGTTTATTCCAGCCCTTTCTATTCAGTATGTCTATATCAAAACCAAGTGGTAGTAAAATTAAACGAAAATCGCTGACGAACATAGAATATTCCAAGTAAAATGGGAATTAGAATATTTTTGCTGTGAAATAAAAGATAAAATAATCTGCTTGATATGTAATAATACTATTAATGTACCAAAGTTATATAATATTAACTCATTACGAACAACACAAATCAAAATATAACAATTCGAAGGATTAATGAGAGAAGAAAAGTTGAAAGAGCTCAAGTTAGGAGTGAAAAAGCAACAGTCCATGTTTAGTAAAGTATTGCAAGAAAGTGAAGCGGCGGTACATGCAAGCTACGTCTTGTCCGAGTTGATAGCTAAACATTCGAAGCCTTTTACTGACGGTGATCATCAAGGAATGCCTAATGAAAGCTGGAGAAATTGTTTGTCCTGGAAATGTGAAGGCTTTTCAATCAATTTCATTGTCTCGAAATACAGTTGCGGAAAGAGTTACTGATTTAGCCGCGAATTTAAGTCATCAGATCAAAGCAAAATCATCTAGTTTTGAAAGTTTCTCCATTGCCTATGACGAGAGCACGGACATTATTGGCAAAGCTCAATTAGCAGTGTTTCTTCGTTCTTGTGACAAGAATTTTAACATTTTTGAGGAATTACTGGAACTAATACCGATGCCTGGTACTACCACAGGAGAAGATGTATTTACTTGTGTTTTTTGGACTTCTGCAGAACCACAATCTACCTTTGGCAAAATTAAATTCTGTAGCTACAGATGGCGCTCCATCAATGACCGGGAAAAACAAGGGCTTCGTAGCATTACTAAGAAAAATACTTAGTGAAATTAAAGGTTCAAACATTCATCATATGCATTGTACAGTCAAAAGTCGTTAATTCGGACACCCATAATCCGGAATGATCTATAATCCGGACCTCAAAGGTAAAAACTTTCTGTGCATGCGCCACGTTGACACATGCGCATAGGCGTAAGACCTCTTACGACTGCGCATTTGCGTGTGCGCAAGTGCAGAATACGTTTTCGCGTGCGCCTTTTATGTATAACGGACGGTATAATCTAAAATTATCTAATTATCTATTTCAGTTAATGTTGATGATTGCGTTGTTCCTTAATCTTCGAATTGGATCCAGCTTATTATTTTTTGCAGACTGTAAGAGCAATTTTATAAAAGTAAACTTGAACTTTCGATTATATCAAATAGAATTTCCGAATCTGGAGCTCTCAAAGGATCGTACAAAACGAAAGTATGTTTCGATGTCCATCAAACAAAAAGTGAAATTGCTGCAAAAAATGGATAAAGACATGAAGAATGTGACAGAGAGGTTAGTGAAAACGAAAAAATTTCGATTGACAAGTTAGTCGGTATTCTCGGCACAGCAGTTACGGGACTTGAACAGCGGAACTTTGTAAATGAACAAAAAATTATGTCTGTTTATAGAATTAAAGAGAAAGTATTATCACATAAAACGAAGCAACTTAAACAACTTACATTAAAAGAAATATTTAATAAAGTAAACAAATAAATATTAAGCTTTTTTTTTGTAAATTTTGATACCTTTTAGATCATAATTGTTCTTTATTTCATAAATTACGGTTTCGATATTTTTAATTTTAGAATTTCTGCATGCCATCTTATGCAGATTTAAACTGATGATCTATAATCCGAAAAAATCGATAATCCGGAATCGCCGAAGTCCCGATGAGTCCGGATTAACGACTTTTGACTGTATTATACATCGAGAAGTTCTATGCACGAAAGTAATAAATATGGAGAATGTTTTGTCATATATATGAAAAAAAGTTATAAATTTTATAAGTTCTCGAGGTTTAAATCAGCGTCAATTCACTGCTTTTTTAAGTGAGTTAGATAGTGAATATTCGAATTTGTCCTACTATACCGAGGTACGTTGGTTATCTTGCTCCAAGATTCTCAAACAATTCTGGGATTTGAAAGCAGAAATACGCCAGATTTTAAAAACGGAAAAATCAAGACTTAAGTTTGTGTTACGATCCAA